CAACACCATCCAAAACCCTTACCTCCACACTCAAACTACAACCACCAAATCCCACAAACACATATTTTATTCTTCTTCTTTTCCACAATGGCCAAACCAACAACCTCCCTCAAAACCACCTCCACAATCAAATTATTTATCTTCCCAACTTTATTTTTATCAACTCTATTATACATTAACTTAACAATCATCTCATATTATATTAAACAACACCAACACCAATACGAAAATCATGAACAAAAAGAAAAAACTAAAAAAAATTACAAATAAAACTCAACAATCTTTGGCTCCATGTTGTCAACGAATGAAGCATCATCGAGAAATATTCCTATGTCCACTACGCTAGAAAAAGTCTTTAAAAGCGGTTCTTCAACAGTGCATCGTAGAATAATGCTGTTAAATTCGAGGTGGAGGAAAATAGACTGCACATCTGTAAGAAATCGTTGTTAATATTAATAGGCGGATATAACATCAACAGCGCAACCGCGAATGTGCGCTATTTAACAGCGCTCCTTTTTGTTGTCCTGTTAATAAGAATATATTTAACAGTGTCTGCTTTTGTTTACGTTGTTGATGATATATTTTCTACATTACATTCTTCAATATCCGGTGTTGATTTCTTATCTTATTCAACACTTACTATGTGTTGTTGCTACTCTAACATTATCAAAACACATTCACTATAAAACTTGTAAAAGAAAAAAGAAAAAGTAAAAAATGTTTTTTTATTTTATTTTAGGGTGCACCTTTTTAATGTAGTGAGAAAATTTGGATAGAATGAATTTTTCCACCCCAAATGCATATATAATATGTTCAGTTCTAATTAATGATTTAAAAGATATGTCCAAAATAATGATACAACACCTTTAACAGCTTAGTTTAGCTGAAAAGTCAAACATTTAACAGCGTATTTTTAGAGAGTGTTGTTAAAAGTCTTACATTTTTGTTTTAGTAGGCGCAAATCTTTCCGGATTTAAAAACAAAATCTCACACACAATAATAGACATAGCATTCAACTCTTACTATTCTTCTCTTAGTTTCTCTTCAAGCAAGTTATTAGCTCACGTTTTCTTTATTCGAGCGTAAGGTGAATCATTCTCTTTGATTCACTTTTTCTCCTTGCATTTACATCTAGGTTAACTGCATATTTTATATTACATGAAATGTCAAGGTTGAATCTACATGAAGTTATTGTTGATTTACTAAACTTGTAATCTCAGTATGTATTTCTTGTATTTGGTTGTTATTTACATCTAGTTTAACTGCATATTTTGAAGTTTCTTATATGTTTGATAAAATGTCTGAAAGAGATTTTGTCTTATTTAATATGAGTGCGGTTAAATGAATGTTGTTAAAGTTGACATATCAACAATACTCATGATAAGCGCGGTTAAAAGTCTTGTACATATATAAAAACGCTTGTTGGAGGTGGCGCTGTTGTATATATGACATACAACAGCATTCGTATAAGGGCTATTAAAACATATCATATATTATTGCACTCATATAGAGAGCGCCCAAAAGCGTTGTTTTATCCCAAAATTGTTCAATGTTGATTTACATATTTGGTGTTGTGGTCATTCACAACATCGTTCGGTACCACCACATCAACGCCGGAAAATGATTGTACGGCGACAACCACCGCCTCTCCAACGACCATCTTCACACCCAAGCACTACCACAAGCCACTGCCAGACCCATTGCCACCATCATCAAAAAACGCATCCACCAAGAAAGAAATAAGAGAGACTCTTCCTAAAACTCACAAAGAAAATGAAGAACCAAAGTTCTTTAAGGAAGTTGATGATGCTTTTGCAATTGAAATTTTGATTAGAAAAGAAACATTGGAGGAGAAAAGAAAGCAGAATATTGGATTTGTGAAAGTTTTTGAGGAATAAGAAAATTTGTTTTATCAAATGTGGTCTCATGCTTTTACAATAGATTGGCATGACAAGGTACAATCTTGGCCATTCAAAGAAAGCACAAATGCATATGTACCACTAGATGAATGTGTGATCCATGTAAAACCATTTACACGTGATTTTATCCAGGATGCACATAAAATCACAAAAAATGTGTCATTAATGTTGCCAAGAATTTACATTTTTTCCCAAAAGAACTGTTGTTTCCATTTTACTTTCCTTGAGAATATGAAATATATTTAATTGACAATGATTCTACCATTAATGAGAGAAAAGGTTTTAGAAACTATCGTAAGTAGAATTTTGACATCCAAATCAATCTAGATCAAGAAGCACTCTTGCATATTCCACTACTAATATTTGGGACAAATAAAAAGGAATCTGAAATGATTTTCACACATTGCATCATGGAGTTCAACTTTGAGGACAAGGTTGATTTTAAAGGGGTTGGTAATGATAGGATATATGCTAATGCTATGATGCTTCTTATGGGATTTATTTGAAAGAGGATATGATAGAATATTGTATTTGATTATTTAGATTCAATTAAATATTGGTATTAGATAAATAATTATAAAATGTTCTTATTACGAGATGATGACACTTGTTTGATCATCATCATATTATGGTTTCCTTATTTTCTTTAAATAGTACATTGTTCATTCACGAAGGCAATCAATGAAAAATGAAGAATTTTATGTTTATTACTTTCTTAGTTTATCCATTTTTTTAGGATTAGATTAATTTCATAGTATTCTTGATAGATTGCTATCTAGCACTCTACCAATGAATTCCTTTAACTAATACAACAAATGAGGTCCCAATTCTCTGATTTCATTTTCCCTTTCATTCAGTTGAATAAGGCTTATATTCTTCTCTTTCCCTCCAAAATTCTTGTCAATTTCTCCAATGGTTTGTTTGAAAGTTGGATTTTGGAGGGAAATGAAAGGCTTCAGTATTAATCTGAAGTCTTCTATTTTCCATCAAAACCCGATGTTTGCAAGTTGGTTCTTGAAAGATAATTGAGAGAAATGAAAGGTTTGAGAGCAATAAAATACACTTGTGAAATAGTTATGAAGCATTCGCTTCCACTCCCTTTCCTTCAAAAACTCAACTCACAAAAATACCGTAAGTCGATGTTATGCATTTCACCCTAGAATCCATCATCAAGGCCTATATTCTCATTTTTGTCTTGTTATTTTGCCTGTCCTAATAAGAGGGTTTCCCCTAGTTACTAAACTTTACTCTAATTTGGAGAAGCAGATAGATGCTTAGTAGAGTTTGAGACCCCTTAATCAAGTAACTGAAGATTCCTTCACCACCACTAGAAAATTTGATTGGTATCATCATGAGATTTCTCAATTTCTTGGTGGTTCTGTTTGGTGTTCTTACTGCTGAGTTTATAAGTTATCAACCAATAGATAGGGAAGAGTGCACCAATTATTGGTACTTGCCACAGGTAGAATTTGTTATTATGGATTTGTTTGAATGATAGTTTAAAGTTTAAACCCTTGGAAGTTAAAATTACTCTACTTTGTGTTGACTGTAATGTGAATTTGACATGAGCTCAATTCTGAACTCTAGGTATGTATGATTATGTTAAATACTGAATTGCAACTTGAGTGAGTTGTAGAGAGATGTATAAAATTGCATGTCTTACTAAGGTGGTTTTGTGTTCGGGGAAATTGGAATGAAGGTGAAAATTTGTATAGCATAGCATGATTTCCTGAATTTGAATTGGTTGGATTTTGTGTAAGGTTTGGGGGGTGAAATGTCCTTCTTTTGGAAGGTAGGGAATTTCTATTTTCTGCATGTTTCTGCAGTACTAATTGAATATGTATCACAGTATCAGGGTAATCAATCACGTCAAATTCTGCTTTCAGGCAGTTACTGCACATAACGATTATGACCGGTGACCGGTACTAACCGATTATTACAGGTAACCAGTTACTCTTAGTAATCAATTATGCATTCTCTAAGAACCTTCCGTGGACATGTATTTCTAATAGTACCCATAAGATATGTATATTAACTCTGACTAATTTTATTATTGACCGGACTTGAAGATGATTTTGATTTATAGTTTTAATTGAAACAGTGGTTGGATTGCTTTAAACGGAGGAAATTGTCATCCGACCATGTTAAACTCGGTTGAACCGGAAAGTGTACCAGACAATTTACTTAAAATTTAAAAAATAAAACATTACTCTAATGTTTTGTTTTACCTCGACCTATAAAAAGATAGAGATATGTCAATTCAATATAATTAATTATACATAATTATTAATTATAAAGTTTTACATTTATATAATTATATATATATATTATGTGTAATATCTATATACTATCGGAGTAAAGATTTATATATAATTAGTATATCATCAATCATTCATTTGTATTACTTTCTTTTAAGAGTCGATGATGATAAAACTTAAATGATAGATGATATAATGACAATGTATAAATTTTGTATTTGGGTCCGTGTTTTTTGTACTCGTGGGTAATTGAGACCCAAAATTTTAAGACACGTTGTTAGATGAGTCTGGGTATGGACAATGAGATAAGGAGATCCACTTACTCCGAGAGTAAGTTTTAAAAACTTACTCAACATCTTAGCCATCAATTCTAGGGAAATCAAATTATTTGTATATCTAAACCATTGGATTTCCCTAGAACTGATGGCCAAAATGTGGAGTAAGTTTAAAAAACTTACTCTTGGAGTAAGTGGATCCATTATCTTATAATGTTATATTGTTAATTCATAATTGTAATATCATATTAATTCATAATGGTTGTTATGTTATTACAATATGATGTTATATTGTTAAGTAGTCATGTGATGTCAAGTTATTAATTCATGTGTAATATAATATTATGTTAATTAAACCATTTTTACTAAATCAATTTTAGATCAAAACGATGAAGTAATGACTTTGTTTTCTATGTTTGTTTAAATAAAATGAGTTGTACTTAATAGTCAATTTAAAATGTGTTTAAAACTTTAAATTATGTTTTATAATGTTCTCTCTTGTTAATTACCTAATTGTAATAAAGAAATACACAATTACATAAAATACTCGCAATTATTTTTAATACTTTTGAATTTGTGGTACCCACAGATCCGTTGGGTACCCAAGGACCAATGGGTAGCCGACCCAACGGGTATCATCACAGATTTGAAGCTATGTCTGGGTCCAAAAAATAAAGCAACGACACAGGTTCAGGTAATACACTAGTCAAACCCATCCAGAGCCATCTGGATGCCACAAGCTAGCACATCTGCCCTGTACCACCTGAGTTGGCATGTACACATTATCCACCTTAAAAGACGTGCAACACGATGACTTCCCAGGAGGTCACCCATCCTAGTACTACTTTCGCCCGAGCACACTTAACTGCACATATTATCCACCTGAGTTGGCTTACAAACAGTGTCAGCCAATGCCAAGAAGAAAATACTGAGTCCTAGTGTTGGAAATCGAATCCAAATCAAGGTCTTCCATTCTGATGCAAGGCGGTCAGGGACTGTAATGTTTTTAAGTGTTGGAATAACTTACAGAAGGATAGAATGTTTTCAATTGAAGAACTTGCCTTCTGAAAGATACTTACAGAATTTCAACTCCATATTTCAGACTTTATAACATAGTTACCTAATATGTAATACTGTTTAGTACGAGTATAGAGTATGTAATATGCTAGCTTTCAAAAACATGGTACCCAATGAAATAATCAAATATAACGTAAGAAGAGGTGTTAGAATTGTGTTTTCCAACTTTTGTTGGTTTTCAAAAACTTTGGATAGGTGTAAAACAATTTAAACAACAATTTAAAAATTCAGTCAAGTAACTCGTCTAAGAGATTTTCAGATGATTAGTTCATCTTAATAAAACCTTACATGAAAATATTTGAAGGTAAATATTTAACATCAAAATGCAAAACTCTTGAGATTGGAAAACAAATATAAAAACTTAAATTAAACTGGTTGGCGAAAATCAAACATTTAATAACTGCACAAAAAATTAGGCACGATTCAAAATAACCACAGACATTGATGAACAGCCCTTCTTCCTCAATGCATGTGCATATTTTACTCGACTATCATATTTGGACAATACTGAGTACAGTATTTTATTTTTCAAGGATTGACATGAAAACATGATTTTGCATTGTGTTAATTCCAGTCAGCCTCCAATGTAAAAGATGCAGAAATGCGTACTAATTATGACTCCCTGAACAACTGTGTTACCAAATATTTCACCCGCTAGCATGATCACCTCCACTATCCATCCGCTGCAAAGAACAAAAAGAAAGAGCACATTTCAATATTTACAAATTGATGATCGAAATATAGATATGAATATTAAAATAGCTTTAATGTACATTGCAGAAGGTAAAGCATAAACTAACAACTTGGATTAGTGCTCTCTGAATGCATATGACAATTTTCTGAGAATTTCACCCTCAAGGATCAGGAAATTAAATAGTTGCCACCCTAGAGAAGGACAATGAACTCAGATTGAATCATATACATATTCTATAATTATAAAAAAATTAAGCTGAAAATATTTTAAAAAAAATAAAATCCATATATAAACCATGCATTATTCTCTAAACAAACACAAACTAATTTGCTTTAAAATTCATTGGAAAAAGTTTAAATCTATAGTTATTGGAGGGTTGAACAGGCCATAAGCCAAAATCCCACTTAACCTGTTACCTTCCCTTATCAAACATTTTTATTGGTCATTTCCCAAAAAATGTTTTGTAGCCTTTATCAGCAGCCACACCATTTGGCTAAAAAACATGTTTACTAATAAAGGCACGCAAAATTGGCATAATGGACTTGCCTTGTTTTGCAACCATTCTGCCAGACCAGTTTGCCAGGCTCAAAGCCAATGTAGTCAGCTGATTGTTCTACAAGAAACTAGACCACTGACCTTGGAATCTACATCACAGGACAAGACTCACCATTCTTTTGCTAACATAAGGCTGTATCTTGACTTGCATCTCCGGTTGAGTTTCAATGTCTGATAATTTTTGTTTCTCCCTCTCAAATTCTTTTCTGGATTCTTTTCTGCTACCAGATTGCCAGACTCTACCAAAATTGGGAAGCCAGTTGGCATCACACTCATTCCTCACTGTCTCTCCCCTCTTCTCCATTTCCAATTCAATCTTTCTCCTTTCTGCCCAAGCTGCTCCCACCCGTTTTGGATTCAATTTTTTGGACTTCCCTGACTTAGTAGAATGAGAAACAAGGTTTCTTAAAACAGGTTGAGAATGCATCTGAACTCCCTCAGTTGCTTCAAACCATGGTGGAGGTGCTCCAGAATGAACATTTCCACCAGCAATTTTAGCAGGCGTAGAGGATATTTGGGTGAGCATCTGTAGACCTGAAAAAGCATAAGGATCACAAGTAGAAAATGCATCATGAATGCAAGTTCACCACCACTCTCATAAGCTCCTCTATGCTACATATCAATCAGTGGGCTATAATGCAATAGTGAAGTCTTGACCTTTTTTGGCTTACGGATTAGTCTTAAATATTTTGAAGTTTGCACATATGTACAAATCCAAAATGCAATATTGTTACTAAATGTATACATCCAATTGGTATGTGCTTCAAAGATTTAGAGCACTATAAGAATGTAAGCAAACCAAAATTGACATAATTAAATATGAATACCCTCATGACTGCTATCTCCGTTTACCATTCCACCATTGTTACACACCTGCCATGTTCATACATATCACAATACTTTTATCAGTCTTGAAATTACACAGTAGATTAGATAGATACAATACAGGAGAAAACAACAAACAGAAAAGTGTTAAAAGGAGAAAATTATATGTTAAAAATGCATAAAAAAGCATGCATTGTAAGAAACCATACTATAATCCTTGATAATCAAGACATGAAAATAAGATAACTAAAAATCGAGCAAAATTTCAGATGCATTGATCTTGTGAACCAATGAAATTACCAACCAATGACTGCAGAATGTCTGAAACTCAAATAGTTAGATTTCTAATGAGAAACAGTTAAAACCTACAATATTAAAACAGACAACTAACTTACCCCTTTATTGCTGGAGTTACCACCACTTGAACATTGTGTACCATTAAATGGGAGAGACTGACTTCCCTTTTCAACTAAGACACAATAAAAGCACAGAATATAAGAATGGACTTCAACGAAGAAAAATGCTAATGACACATCAATTTCACACATCTCTCTCATATATGCTTATGTGATAGAATCAAAGTGCATGTATGAAGAAAATAGGGTGGGCCCACTTGCAATTAGATGGTGAAGCTGTGTGGATGAAAGTGATGTGTAGCATTGTTGTTTACCATATCCAATGTGAATAGTAGCTGTAAAGAATACTAAACGGCATTTCAATAGACAAAATATGCATACCTGCAAAATTCTGCAAAGAAAAAGGATTTGCACCAGAGCTTGATATTTCCGAAGGTAAAGAAGGAGTGGTAACATTGTTATCTAACAAGCCAGCATTGCCAACTCCAGAGAGACCTGAATAGGATACCTGATACTCATTTGTATAGCATTGTAAAGGCAAAACACCATTTGAAGGATGTGATTTCACAGAATGGGAATAAACATTATCAAAACTATCAATATTTCCATTATTGTGTTGATTATGGATATCACTTGAAGGTCCAATAACAGCTCCGCCACGACATCCCTCACTCGACGACCCAGCTTCATTTTTCAAGGCCATACACCTCTTCTGCCACTACACTCACAAAGAAATGACAACCAATCAACAATTAATTACACTCTGAATCACACAATTTCCTTTTCTTATTTTTTGTCTAAAAATAACATATATAATAGAGTAATTATCCACTTTAGCTTTAGCCACTAAGAAAAACATCAACCTCAAATTAGACCTGAGAAATGAAAACCCTAACTTGATACTAAGAACCTTAAATGTTGGTCAAATTATTCTGATATTTTCTAAGCAACTACAGGGTGTATTTGTTCTCTAAAATAAGATCGAATATAAATATATTCTATCGAGCACCTTAGCTAAATCATCATCAGAAACCGTAAAAACATTCAACTGATCCATTGCACCACCATATTTCCAGAAAAAGTGCTTCAAATTCTTCACGTGTTCAAAACTCGCTAGATGATGAATCGCATTAGCACTGCCACACGAACCATCACAACATCAATTTCAGTTTTACGCAAAAAAAAAATGAAAAGAATTTCAGTAATAAGTTTTGAATTCAACAAACCATACCAGGCAAAAGAACTATCGAATTCATCAACATCTTCGTCGCAGAAAACACACCAAAAGCGATTGCGAGATGCGAATTGGGGAACGAGAGGAATGGGATTATTGAGAAAGAAACGAAGATCGGAGAGTTTGTTACGGAAACGAGAGAGGAAATTGGAAAGGGAATTGTTGTGGTTAGGGAAATACTTGTGACGAAGACCTTGATTATGGTTTATATTGCACACCTTGCAGAATTCAAACTCGCTTTTCTTCTTATTCTTCTTCTTCGTTGTTGTTTGGGATATAGGGTTTGTTCTATTATTACTCTCACTCTTAGATTGTTCACCCATCAAGATCGAGACCAAATAGATTGGCTTTCCCTCTTCCTTCCTTTAAACTATGAGAGTTAAGGGTTAGGGTTAGGATATCTCTATTAACGAAGAGGTAAGTACCTAAAAAATAACATAAAAATATAAAATAGTAGGACATTTTTATCCCTTAGAAATAATGATATTACAATCTTACCCTTGAAAATAAATGCAAAATCAATAACTTGTATCTCCATTACTGAAGAGGATTCTTTTCCGAGAGTTAAATACATTTGGACATTAATTATATTGCATCCTAAGTCTTTATTTGCATGGAGTGATTTTAAGAAGAAATAAGATAAGAAGATAGAAAAATGAGAAAATTCCCTTTTTTTCTCATATTTGGTTGAGGGTAGTGAATGAGTAGAATGATGAAAATCGGGTGAGTCACACTACTTTTTGTTTCTCTTCTAGTTATATGAGAAAGTGAATAAAGGGACTATTGTATTTGTAAAATACAATTTTATCCTTCAAAACAACTTCCAAAAAATAATGTATCAAGGATAATATTGTCCATTCATATAAAAATTAATCTCTTTCTCTTTTCTCTCCTTTTTTCTCTTATACCAAAGGACCCTTAAAATTCATTATCTTTCTCACTTTATTCTCTCTACTCAAACTTTATCTTCTTATATTTTTTCCTCTCTTTTTTCTTCCCTAAACCAAAGAAAGCCTAAATCTACTATATAATATAATTTCAGCACAAACTACTTGTTTCTCCTAATGGGAGAACTTCGTATGAAATATAAGTTGACAAGTAGTTATACACATATTTTTAATTTCAGTTTATAAACACAATGAGATTATAAACTGTGAAA